CTTTTGACCTGCTTGAAATGCATCTGTGGATGCATGACAAGGTACGGTTGGCCTTCCTAACTCCTAGCTCTGGGCAGGAGCCGCCTCTGTGACCCAGCGGTTGGGACCCATTGTGGGACAGAGTGCTGCACTAGGGCTGTGCAAAGCTTCGATCCCTGATTTGATTCAGCATGACTTGGTTGCTGAATCTTCAAATCCAAATCGAATCAGGAGACCATTTAATCTCACTGAATCAAATCAGAACCCTCCAAGTTGATTTGGAGAGATTCAAAAAGATTCGGCCATAGACACAGCTTTAAATGTTTTTTCTACATACCTTATAGTACCAGGCAGCTTGTGAATGCTGCAGTGGTGGGGCAGATGGAGCGTCATACAGGAGCATGGGGGACTCCCCAGTGCGCTCAGCAGCATACCTGAGAGTGGACCAGAAGCACTTCCGGGATCTCCAGGGAGCGTACCAGGGCCCCCTCGCCACACACACACAGAGCCCGGCTTGGCGAATGGTGCCTCTTGGGTCTGGAGGGGCACCCAGGGTCCCCCCACGGCCAGTTGCCAAGCCGGGGGGGGGACGTCCTGCGTGCTCAGCAGTGCACCTGGAAGCAGACTGGAAGTACTTCCAGTCCACTTCCAGGTTCACCACCAAGCACGCAGGGGGGCTGCCCCATGCTCCATCCACTCCAGCACTGCAGCATTCACAAGCCACCTGGTACCTTGACGTAAGTAGAGAAAACATTTAAAGCTGTGTCTATGTCCAAATCGCTGATTCTTTGAATCGGCATCGAATCTTCAGATTTGGATTCAGTCGAATTAAATCGGAGACAGTTATCCGAATCAATGAATAGAATCACTGTCCCCGATTCGGGCCAAATCAAATATGAGCCATCTCACACACGCCTGTGCTGCATCACCATGGCTGCCAAGGTGAAGCCCAGCAGTGGCAGTGGTGCAGAAGTTGTGCCCATGCTGCTGCTGGGTGACCAGGAGGTGCCTCAGCTTGGTAGTCGTGGTGGCACAGTGAAGCACGGCATGGTGCTCCCCTCCTGCTATGCCAGGTCTTGTCCATTGGGCTGTGGAGCCCCTGTGAGGGATGCAGCAAGGCGGGGAGCCCCAAACCTGCAGTGAGCAGCCCACATCCTTCCCCTCCCCCCAACATGGGCTCCAATCCAGCAGTGCTGCCTGCGTGGGGGAGGAGAGGGAGCTGGACTCTGTACTCCACTCCAGCCACAGGTGGCAGCTGGGGCTTGGGCACTGCTGGGGAGGCAGGAGACTGTGGGCCCTGGCCATGGGGACTTGGGGGACTGTGGGGGGCACCAGCAGGGCCAGGGGCCTGTGGGTGGGGAGTGTGAAGCACAAGGGGTTGTGGGGGGCCATGCTGAGGAAATGGAGTCATAAATGGTGTCACGCTGAGGGAAAGTTTGGGAAGCACTGCTCTAACTTGTGATTTTTCCAAACCTTGTGAACTTCACAAAGCCTCCATGCTTTTACTTCTCTAACCTGCCCTTTATGAAATGTGAAATGCAATACACTGACTACAAGAAGGCATTTGACCTAGGTAGCACTTGCCTTTTCTACTGCCATCACATTTTCTAAAACCTTTATTTTGTTTTTTAAACTGATCCCTGCAGTTTCTTAGGTAGCTTGCAGATGGTCTTGGAGAGGTCTTTATGACCATTTTAACCTGACTTTCCTGATTTAGATTCATGTCTTACCAATGTGAAGGTCTTCGCTCTGTGAAAGATGGACTAGTGATAAGGGTTCTGGCCTGGAACTTGAGTCTTGAGCACTTCAATGAAAAAGATATAAGTAAACAATATTTATGTGATCACAAACTATTTTTCTAAAGAATTCCTGACTTTGGCAATCTTAATGACCTTTTATCCTGCTTCTTATATAAAACTCTGGTGTTAAAGATACGGCCCATGTGCCAGATCTGGCCTCTGGAGCCCTATCATCCAGCCTCCAGTTCTGCCTCTGTCTGGAGTTGACCCACATACCAAATGCAGTGCATGCCAGACTGGCCATGTGTACAGGGCCCAGGATATACACCACATGTAGCGCCTACCCCAGCTGTTCCAGGGCATGCACCCTTGGCAAGTTTGTGGATAACACCAACCCGGAGGAAGTGGTAGATATGCTGGAGCATAGGACCAAAAGAAATCTCAGAGAGATTTCAGAGAGACCTAGACAAATTGGAGGATTGGACCAAAAGAAATCTCATGAAGTTCAATAAGGACAAGTGCAAAGTCCTGCACTTAGGACAGAACAATCCTATGCACCAGTATGGACTGGGGACTGACTGGCTGGGCAGCAGCTCTGTAGAAAAGGACCTTGGGGTTACAGTGGACAGTAAGCTGAATATGACCCAACAACAGTGTGCCCATGTTGCCAAGAAGACTATCAGCATACTGGGCTTCATTAGTAGGAAGGTTGCCAGCAGATCAAGGGAAGTGATTCTTCCCTTCTATTTGGCACTGGTGAGGCCACATCTGGAGTACTGTGTTCAGTTTTGGGCCCTGTGCTACAGAAAGGATGTGGACAAGTTGAAGAAAGTGGGCAGCAAAAATGGTTTGGGGGCTGGGGCACATGATTTCTGAGGAGAGGTTGAGGGAACTGGGCTTATTTAGTCTGCAAAAGAGAAGACTGGGGAGCGGGGGGAGATTTAATAGCCCCCTTCAACTACCTGAAGGGGGGTTTGAAAGAGGATGGAGCTGGACTGTTCTCAGTGGTGACAGATGACAGAACAAGAAGCAATGGTCTCAAGTTGCAGCAAGGGAAGTTTAGGTTAGATATTAAGAAAAACTCATGAGGAGGGTAGTACAGCACTAGAAAAGGTTACCCAGAGAGGCTATGGAATCTCCATCTTTGGAGGGTTATAAGACCTGGCTAGACAAAGCCTTGGCTGGGATGATGTAATTGGGGATGGTCAGGCTTTGAGCAGGGGGCTCAAATAGATGACTTCCTGAGGTCCCTTCCAACCCTCATTGTCTATGATTCTATGTGCTGCATATGGTGCCTGCCCCCGCCAGTCACACATGCCACATGCAGTGCCTGGTCCAGCTGGTCCAAAACCTGCACTGCATATGGCACTCCTTACTCCCCACTCTTCTCCCAGCTCCAGAGCAGGCACTGCATGCAGAATGGTTCTTGGACTGGCTGGAGTGGGTGCTGAGTACAGCACAGTCCCAGCCTGGCAGAAGTGAGCAGGGAGGGGGCACAGGAGGTGCATGGGCCTGATCTGGCCCATGGGGCCAGCCACATGCCATTCATCTGGCCTGTTGACCAACCCCACAGCACTCATCTAGCCCACAGGGCCAGATGGGTTTGATACCCCTGGTGAGTGGGATAGAATAAAGCCTTGTAGAACTAGAGATGAAAACTACAGTGACAGACATGCTGTGGAACATCATAAATCCCTAGGTCCCAAGAAAATAGTTCAGTAAGGAATGAAAAGCAGTGCACAAAATTCTGATCCGAATGCCCAAACATTTGCCCTGGAAAAGAAAGAAAATATTTGAATTGAGGTGCTATCTTCAACCTAGTATAACTGTCTAAATTTAGACCTATACAGATTGAACCAAGTGGCATGAATACTATGCTTTCCTGAAGGAAGACCACTCTATAAAAGGTCTCCACTGTAAACTGGAACATTGCCTATAACAGATATTGTTATAAATAGGGCTGAAACTAAGATCACATTTTGATTCAAATTCAACGCTTCTGTAGTTATCCCCAAATTACGGGTAGAGATTCATTTTAATTGGATGGGCAATGCTAATATTCTTTATAGGCTGTGGTCTAAACTTCCTGGCAGTTATATATTGTAGGCCTCCGAAGCCCAGTTCCTGCAGATTATTTGCTTTAGTATTAAAAGCCCATTCTAGAAAAGTGAAAATGCATTTATATTGGTTTAGTAATGTTTATTACACACAGCATCCATTTACTCTAACAGTTTCATGGGTCCTACCTGGTATTTTTATTGATATATATGTGTACATCTGTGAAGAAAAGAGTTTTGTTTTGCTTGAGCATATTATGTTGAACACCAGTACTTTCCTTCCAAGGTGGTTGTTTCAGGTATAGCACCTATAGATAAACTGCTTCTTCTCTCTTCTCTACCTCAGATGCTCTTCAGAAGTTCATGGCTATTCTAGTGTATGTACCAGTTCTAGTGTATATTTTCCTTCTTTTTTTGCATATGAAGAATATCTCCATAATCCATACTATTTCTGAAACCAGAATGCATTTTACATGTACCCAGTTGCACCTTAGTTTAAATGTGAGCGATTACCTTAAATTGTATTTTTTTAATAAGCAAGATAGGCTGATAAAGTAGGGATCATTTATACTCATATAACACTTGGTTCTGGCATTTGTCTTTCTAGTTGCTGTTGTGTTGCCTTCCTCATGAGGTAGTCCTATAATAAAAAGTTAGTATACTTAGTGACCTAAGTGGGAGTGAAATTGTGCTTGAAAACCTGTCTGTCTAAATCCATCCAAACCAAACAGCTGGTCCAATAAAAGATATCATTTACACAGATTCTTGCTTCTCACAATTTAGTATACAATGGTTTATGAATAACTTCTCTTCTTTTATAACACAGTACCAGAGAATCCACAAACATCTACTATTAATTCTCTGTATTCCTCACTTTCTGTTCTGAGTAGTGCTTCCCAGGTAAGTTAAGTCCTAAAAGTCGTCTGGTCATTAAAACACAGACATCTAAGTAGGGGTTCCTAGATTCTATTTCTGGCTCTGTCACTGGCTTGCACTGTAGCTTTTGACAACTATTTTATCTTCGTAAAATGGGAATCGTACACCTTTCTCTGCAAGAAGGCAAAACACTTGGCTCCACAAGGGATGGGACTGTATCATTAAGGCTAGGGACATACATTACACATAAACCAGTTGAAGTGATCAAAAACTGATTTAAACCTGTAACAAAAAAGATGTTCAGTACATATAAACCAGTTTGAGAGAAACTGATTTTGGCCAGAAATAAACCTGGTTGAATGTACTATCAGACTTAACTGATTTGGGTCAAACCAGTTTATGCAATGTCTGTCCCAGATACCTTGCTGGTTTAAGATAAATCAGAGTCCCCCAGTATCCTGGCATGCTCTCAGTGCTGGGTGGGGCTCTCAGCTTCACAGCAGGTCTGGCCCCTTCCCTTTGTTCCCTGGCGGCAGCTCCAGCAGGGACTGCAGGCTGCTCCCCACTTCCCCCTCACCACTCCCTGCTAAGTAGGAATACCCCACTCCCGTCTGCCTTGCTGAGAGGTATCTGTGTGTTAGCTAGCAGACCACATGCTGGATACTGGTGACAAAGCCAGAATCAAAAGGTAGCTGGTAATGTCCCTCTGTTGTTTTCTTAATGGGGTGATAAACTCTGAGTTAGAAATGATAAACACTGTTATCAATTCCCTGATGGGCTAATCAGAGCATCTTGCCCATGCCTGGCTATGCCCCCCCCCAGCTCAGCTCTGTACACTGCATCCTCCCCCCTTGCCTCAGAGTGCTAGCAGGGGGCTGGCAACCCTCCTGCCCCTTGACCAGCAAGTGGGGAAAAGCCTGGGATGGTGCAGGCAGACCTCTCTAATCAGAAGTCCTGCAACGGCCTGGCCACATCCTCCTCAACTCTGCAGTGTGCAAGGGGAGGGTTTCTAGCCTGAGCCACTGCAGGCATGTGCCTGCATTTCTGGAACGTTGTTCAGTTACAAACCAGTTCAGCCTAGCCAGGTTAGACTAACCGGCAAAGATTAAATCAATTCAGGCTCAGGCTTTTTGAATGTCTGTCCCTAGCCTAAAAAGGCATATTGGATCTAATTCTACTACCAGTGTTGAATTACGAAAGGGAAGCTCTGATACTTACAGGTGATAGTATTGGAAGTAGTCTCTGTAGTGCTTTCTCTCAGTGTCTTTCTCTAAATTGGCAACAATGAATATTTTGCTTTTTTGGCTTAGGAAGGATGGGACAGATTGGCTTGCTTGGGTGCTTTCTCCAAATTGGCCTGTTTGGGTGCTGTCAGGAAAGAATATGGTAACTAGATTTCCCAGGAGGCTGAGAGCTGTTGGCTCTTGGAAGATAATTCAAATTAAGATAGAGAGTGAATTTAGAGTACAGTATCTGTTGAATAAATCCATGTAAGAATAAACCTTTAATATGTTCACCATGGTAACACTCTGGATTCTGTTCTTAAGAAGCCAATTAACTTGTTGAGTCCTTCTGTTTAATTGATCTATTCTTATAAATTTATTATGCATACTGGGAGCTGTTGAGTTGAATGTTGCACACTGGTGAGTGGCATATTTTATAAACTGAAATTAACATATTTAAAACAACAAACATATTTTACTTCATGCATGCCTCTCATTTATTCTGAATGGAACACATACTCCCCTCCATTTTTTAAAAAACCAAACAAACACAGTTACTAATTTGGGTTCAAAATACTGAAAGTTACCCTTAGACATGGAAAAAGGAAAACCAAAAGCCAAGAACTTGCAGTCCAGGTGGAAGCTAAGGAGGGCAGAGCCTTAACTAGCTTTTGACATTGTCCATATTTCTGTTGAACATGTTGGAAGTAGCATGGCAAATTTCTGTCAGAAAGTGTCAGAAGCTGTAAGAGGTGTTCTGAGACATTCCGATTTCCATAGATTTCGTAGACATTAAGGCTGGAAGGGACCTCGGAAGATCACTGAGTCCAGCCCTCTGCCCCAGAGGCAGGAAGTCAGCTAGGGACAAAGGATCCCAGCAAAATAAGTGTCCAAACATTTCTTAAAAGAGTCCAGAGTAGGTGTTTGCACCACCTCTGGGGGGAGTCTATTCCAGGCCTTGGGGACTCGGACAGTAAAGACGTTTTTCCTTATGTCCAGCCTACAATGGTGTTGGAGGAGTTTGTGACCGTTGGACCTTGTCATCCCTTGGGGTACTCTGGTGAACAGGCATTCTCCCAGATCCTGATGCACACCCCTGATGTACTTATAGGCTGCCACCAGGTCACCCCTGAGCCTGCACTTTTTCAGGCGGAAGAGTCCCATGGCTCTCAGTGTCTCTTCATAAGGCCTATTCTCTTGCCCTCTGATCATGTACATGGCTCTCCTCTGGACTCTCTCAAGCTTCTCCACATCCTTCTTGAATTGTGGAGCCCAAAATTGGATGCAGTACTCCAGCTGCGGCCTCACCAAAGCTGAGTACAGCAGGAGGATGACATGCTGGGATTTACTTGAGAAGGATCTATGGATGCAAGCCAGAGTTTTGTTTGCTTTACCAGTTGCAACGTCGCATTGGTGGCTCATGTTCATGGTGGCTCGTTGCACTGGTGGCTCATTTTAATGGCATCTCCTGTCAAAGCTTATCAAACTACTTCAGTACAGGATCAGCACCTGTCCCTCACTCTTAAATGCAGATTTGCTGAAGTGTGTATTGATAATATGGTGGGCCTGCATAAACAGGAGCTGCTCTGGGTGTTGCATCTACAGAGTAAAATGCAGGCGAGTGGGATTTAAGTTTATAATCTATTGTTTTGTAGGTTGAAAGCAGAAATTAAAGAATTAGAACATGGTTGTCTTCTTCTAAAGGTATATTTTTAACCCATGAGGTAATGATGCATTTTGTGGATTGAAAATACTGGTCTGTCTACATTCTACTTAAAATACAGACCTACCAGGTCCTCCTACCCAACAAAACTTTCCAGCAATCTTAGAAACAGTTCAACACCAGGAAAAAACTTCTTCACAGTCAGGGTGTCCAGAGTGTGGAATAAACTCCCTCCAGAAGTGGTGCAACTGCCTACCCTGGAAATCTTCAAGAGGAGACTGGATGGTCACCAGCTGGGGTCACCTGACTGCAGTTGTCTGTCTTGCCTAGTGCAGGGGGGGCTGGACCCAATGATCTTGCAAGGTCCCTTCCAGCCTCTTACAATCTATGAATCTATATATCCACCAATACTGATATGCAGGTTACATCCTGTATGTGTCCTAGTGTTGGTTTTTCATCCTTGGCAGAAAGGTATAAAGATTTCTACTAAATTTTGTGGATGAATTAGAATTAGGGGTGGAACAAAAATCTTTTCTCTTTTAATTGTTCAATCAAAATCAGGTTCAGTGTATCTTCATTACAGCTCTAAAGGGCAAAGATACTTGGACATTTAATCTGATCATCAGACTTGCAGAAGTGTCTGCTTTCTAAGAACTAGTTAAGAACTGGTTGCGTAATGATTAGTTGGGCAGTTTACCGCCAAATTGCCAGCGAGTAATAGCTTTCTACATGAATAGTCCCTTGTGAAATCAATGGGATTAATTCATTCAATAAGATACTGCATGATTAGTGTAGTTAGGTCCTCTATTGCTAGAAACTGAAAAGATCGCAGGCACTTTACCTATTATACAATGAGATATGTTCATAGCATTTTATTCATTCAGAAACATGAGCATGGAAATAGACTGTAACATTTTCTGAATATGCGAGTATTCAAGAGTTTCTGTTAAGTGTTTATATGGGTTTAATGAAGGGGAAGTTTGATTATGTCTAACAAATCCCATACTTCTACTGAGCATCTGCTATGAAGTTAATAAAAATAGATTTTTTAGAGTAATTCCTAAAACATAGTACAACAAACATGCAGCAGTGATCATTTTAGAAAATTGTATAGGAGAATCCCAATATTCCACACTTACTTTACCTGATTTAGCACATTTCCACAGAATGATTCCTGTATCTAACATACAGTAATGAAAATCTACAAAAATTTCATTATAATTGACTGATAATTATATGGCAGCCATAAATTCAAAACTTTATATAAAATATTTTTTGTACTTAATGCTAGTCTGTGCTGATATGTTTCTTATAATGCTGAGTTAACAGCTCTATGAATTCATACTATAGCTTCTAGCAATGGTTGAATATTACTACATAGTACAAGGTTCAAGTGGAGTATGGTGTTGCAGCTGTAAATTTAAAAGAGCAGCTCCTGTAGTGACAGGTCTTCCTGGAAAAGTATTTCTAATTTCAAGTTTCAAAATGCTTCTGGTCTGAAGGGTCACATAGCATATGATATGGATTTCCTGCTACATGTGTAGTATTGTGCTTAAGTATCAATCTCAAAACCACTATTCAGCTACCAAGTTATCTTTGTCATGCCTCTCTTTGAATATATTTTGCAGTCCTGTAACATCTGCTATCTCAGGATATCCAAACATTTTAAAAACAATGATTTGAGCTTAAGGATGGAAGTTGGTTAGAATTATTAAATCTACATGACAAATGGGGAGAAAAATAAGGCCCAGAGAGGTATTAAAAGACAAACTCTGTATACTCTTGTATACTCCTGATAAGATATAGCCTGCAAGCCAGATCTGGCCCACGGAGGGATTTTGTCTGTCCAGGCATTGTCCCACAGTGACATGTCCTGCCATCCCCTGGGCATGCAGCAGGGCTGGGGCAGCTCTGTGCTGGACTGCCTTTCTAGGGCTCCAGCCCCACAGTACTGGCAGGGACCTGTGCACAGCACCGACCTGCCCTGCACCTGCTGTAACTTGCCTGCTCATGGTGAATAGCTGCAGCAACAGCAGTGCTGGTGGGGCAGAAATGTGCTCAGTGTGGGGGAAAAGCAGCCCCTCCCTCTCGGTGCTGCACAGTGCTTCCTGCAACAGCTGCATGGAGGATGCAGTGGGCTGCCCTGCATTGTCACCACCACCTCCAGTCTGCCCTGCAGGGCAGAAGGAGCAACACAGAGGAGCCTTAGGGCAGCTCAGCATGGGCTATGCACAGCTGGTGCAGGAAGTGTGAGGCCTGGGTTTTAGGCACTCATCAGTCTGAGGTGATTCAAATCCATGTCACCCACATCCGAAGTGGGAAAATGCCCTCACCTCCAGACTAGAGCACGGGTAGGATAAGGACATCCTCTAAGCCTTCAATCAAAGCTGGGCAACTGGACAGTCAGGAGTGCAAAGTGGTGGTGCCAGAAGAACAAGAAAGACCCTGTATTCCAGGATGAAGGCATTCCCTTGGG